GCAATTAAAGAAAGCAAATCTATGCCCACTAACGGATCTTAGGTCTAAATTTTTCTTACGAAAGTTGCAAGGTGAGCTTTGGGGATGGACATGTTTTTACTTGGGCGTTGCTGCTATTGCTTTTGGGTCCGGTTACTATCATCTAGAACCCGAATGATGCTACGCTTGTGTGGGATCGGTTGCCGGTGCGTATGTTTGTTTTGCAGTCTCAGCTTTTTTATGTCTAGATCTTTTGCAATTGCTTTGATTTGATTATTACTTTCCTGATTTTGATATTTTACTTTCCTTTTTTTTGTAGTACAGATGACAGTTGCATTCACATCAATTATTGCAATATTCATCGTTGAAAGAATTGATGAGCGGAAGGGAACATTGTCCCTCATACCGTTGCTTCTGGCAGGTGTTCTCAGCATTTTGTATTGGAGGTAAGCCCATCACTTCATTGTCATTATCTGTGCCTATTGTCATTATGTCGTTATGTTCGCTTATTTATTCCTTATGTTTCAAATGGCATATTCTCCGGGGTTAAGATTCTGATGATAGTGAATGTTTTTGATATCCATTAGAGATAAGCTAGTGATTCCAGCTGGTGAAAGCATTTTAAGGAATGTTGAAGGTTATGGTTGAGTATTTTCTCGGCTTAATCCCAAGCTAGCATTACTATTGTTGTTTCCAAAAACTTTTGAAACAGTCTTAACATAGCAGGGTATACATGGTACAGAAAATAAAGCATGAAGCATTAGATCAAATGAAGTACCAAATTTCCTTTCGATTGTGTTGTGGTATCATGTAATATCTTCTCTGTGTTTTCTTTTTCAGATTTGCTGATGACCTCCGGCCTTATGGACTGGTTCAGTATGTCCCCTGCATAGCCATTCCACTCATGGCTATTTTATTGCCGCCAATGTACACGCACTCCACATATTGGCTCTGGGCTGGAGGTTTGTGTTTCTCAAGAAGCACAGCTTTTGCTGGCACCAAGCAGTACTTGGTTACTGAAGGATTCAATTACTTGGTTGCAGGTTTTTATGTTTTAGCTAAGATAGAAGAGGCTGCAGATAAACCAATATATAAATGGACTCATCACATCGTCAGTGGACATACTCTCAAACATCTGTGTGCTGCAATGGTTCCTGTTTTCTTGACACTTATGCTTGCAAAGAGGACCATTGACACAGAAAGGTGCTTACCTTGTTCTTTTTGTCCTTATTAAATCCAATAATTACTCATCTTTTTTATCACATATACGTGCATCAGAATCAGAATTTTGCCTAGTCATTTAATTGTTCATTAATCATATGTGAGGAGCTTCAAATTTATGAGGGTTACCATATTTGTTTTTCAATCCATCTCTCAATCTCTTTGTAATGTTAATCAAAGTCTCCATTTTTAGCTAGAAAACTGTAAAGGTGGCTGACTAATTGATCCTCACTGGTTTTTTGTTTCACTTTATTTGCTTTCTTTACTTTCACGTGCATTTTTGGTACCAACTCTTAGTTACAAGCATGCTTGTTCTTTGGGGTGTTACCAAAGTTGCATCTTGTTATCAGAAGTCCCAAACTTTCCTGGAATTCTAATGATAGATATTAGGAATATTGATAAAAAAATGTTGGGAATCATTTGGAATATTCATGTTCCATTTGAAAGGAGTTGCTCAAGCTGCACAACTCTGATGAGGTCATGTTCATATTCACAACCATATTCAGGTGGGTCTCACTATTAGCTTGACTCTACTTGTCGGTAAAACTTGCTCGAGGATTGGCGTTTGAGCTGGATTAAGAGTGGATCTGTTGGGTTCATGCTTGTAATATGTGTGTGTATGGATGGATGTGTATTTTCCTAAACTTGTAGGTTCTGTTTGCACATGCTGGCACAATTATCTCTTTCTGTATTTCAAAATCACTATCATGCGATTGCTACGACTGGCTGATGCAGGATAAGTCTGTTGGAAACATGGAAGATATCTTGGAGCAAGGTGAAAGAAAATGGGTCCAAGGTAGAAGAGAGTTATACATGCACTTACACAAGTGTACCAGTTGTGGAATCGCAGTGACTTCGAGTAGATTGACTCTCTCTTTTTATGGAATATCTTACGCTCAAAACAGTTTGAGAATATTTGTACATAACGTGGATGCTGTAATCTATACAAAAGCAAGCAAGATATATGCAATTAATGTCTAACATTTCCTAGCTCTCCACAATGCTCATGAGTTCTTCTGTCCACTTTGCTTTATTAAGAATGGAGCTGTAGGACAAAAAGAGTGTATCTAAATAATTATAGTGATTGTTTTTTAATGTTATGTAACATAATACTATATTTTATATTGAAAATATTTTTATAACAAATTTTATCAAATATTATATTTATTTTTTTACTAAAAAAATACGATAGTTGATAATTCTTTTGAATGGAACTACGGAACATTTTTAACTATGTTTGCATTTCAGAAGTCATTTAAGTTGGCCAGTGTAATTTCTAAATTTTGATTTTTCAAATAATTCAATTGTTTTTTTATTTATCAGAAAAAAAAAGATTAAATGTAATATTAAAAAATAAAAAATTAAACAAGAGATGAAAATTTGAGAGTTTTTTTTTTTTTTTTAATAATAATTTTTTATTTTTTTATTAAGTTCTTATTTTCTGATTTTTTATACTAAATCTTTTCAAATATTAATTATTATATTTTACTCGATGTTTATAACAAAAATTAAAAAATATATTTTTTTTATGCTTTCAATAAAACGACATCAAATACCCATAAAACGCAAACTAGTCTTCCCAGCGAACCATGTATATAAATACCTTTTATATCAGAAACCCTAACCTTCTCTGTCCACCGCAGCTGGAGCTCTCAAGTCTCGCCGTTGGGTAATGCCTTCAACCTCTCTCTCTCCCCCCAAAAAATGACTGTTTGTCGAGCATTATACTCCATTTTTTCACTTATTCTGCCTGTTTATTCTATTTCTTTTTTTTTGTTTTTTTATGTTATATGCTGCCTCGTTGATCTTTAAGTTTTTCTTTTCGGCAAATCTGATTTCCAAACGTGTTTAGAGACTAAGACTGTAAAGAGTCAGTATGAACACGATGCTTTGGCGTTTTCAGTTTGTTGTAGTTTGTAGATTTTCAAGTCATAACATCTTTGGTTTCTTTCTTTTTCGATGGTTTAAAAGGTCCTTTTACTTCAAAAATAATGATTGTTTTCTGCCGAATGATTGTTTGTGGCAATTTTTCTGATTTTAGTAGTTTCTCACAAGTTCTTGAGATTAAAGTGAGATTCAAAGTCTGTCTAATCCCCCCTACTGTGATTCTCAGATCTCATTTTTTTACAATTGTTCCATCATTTTATTTGTTTATTCTTCTCATTATTTTACTGGTTGGTTTTTATTTTCAGAATATAAATATTTTGCTTGCTAGATCTGTAGGTGTATGTGTGCACGTTTGTTTACTTGGATGTCTGTAGTGTCCAATTTCTTTTGAATTGTCAGATTGTTTTTAAGTGATCAAGATGTTCCATTTTCAGTTCAAATATATAATATGTAAACTGATTTCTCAAATTCAGTATTGTTTAACCTTGTATGGACTTCTTGTATGTTAGCTCCAATCTCAAATTCAGTATTTTTTGCCCACTTTATTGTTTGCCTGTCCGTTTTTTTATTTCTTTCGTTTTTTCCTCAGAAATTTTCTCAGGATTTTTTATGCAAATAGTTGTATGTTATATGCAGTACAAACCGAATTAATGGTAGTTTCTTTTCGACTATGTCATAGATGTTCGCCTTGAGGAATAAAAGAAAACTCTTTTGATTTTACTGAATGTTTGAACTAAGCAGCACACAATTTATCTGTATTTGGGTATTTTTTTTCACACTTTCCTTTGACTTTTCAGGTAACTGAAAGATGGTTAAGCATAACAATGTTATTCCTAATGGGCATTTTAAGAAGCATTGGCAAAACTATGTGAAAACATGGTTCAACCAGCCGGCTAGAAAAACCAGGAGAAGAATCGGTGAGTGGTTTTCTGGTTCGAGTTTTCATTATGTTTGTGTTGTGTCTCAGTAGGAATGGATGGTATGCTTGGCGTTTGGAAAAATTTATCTTATGGTCGTTACTGTGGCTTATTTTTATTATTTGAAATGCTTACCAGCAAGACAAAAGAAGGCTGTAAAAATTTTCCCCCGCCCCACTGCTGGTCCACTACGTCCTATTGTCCATGGCCAGACTTTGAAGTACAACATGAAAGTGAGAGCTGGGAGGGGTTTTACTCTTGAGGAGCTCAAGGTTGGTTATACTTTTTTTCTTTCAGTTTGATGTTTAATTTCTCTTTTTTTGAATTCGTGTTTGTGAGTTTATTTTGTGTCTCGTGACAAATTTTTAGCTTGATGAGTCTATGAGATCTTGAATGTGGTTACGTCCGATGAGACTATTTGATCCTAAGTCGGGGTACACATGCTGTTTTTTCAGTTTGTTATGGACATTGTAAAATGATGCATAACATTGTAAACTTGGAGTTTTTAGTTTTTTTTTTTGGCAGATTTACATGTTACTCTAATCTTCATAACAGTAGAAACATGAATGTCCTCTTAGAATAATACCTCGACTATTAGTGTACCAGTTTTGGCAGTTACAACTGTGATAGTCTTGTATGCATTTGTACGTTTTTTTTACCAGTTAGTTTTTTTACTTAACAGGCTGCGGGCATTCCAAAGAAGTTGGCCCCTACTATTGGTATCTCAGTTGATCACCGTCGCAAGAACCGTTCTCTGGAGGGTCTTCAAGCCAATGTTCAGAGGCTGAAAACCTACAAGGCGAAGTTGGTTGTCTTCCCAAGACGTGCACGCAAATTCAAGGTAATTGAGATTATTGAAGTATGTTTGGTTGTTCTTGATTGTGTGAAAGCGCAATATTGTATTATCTTTCTTCTCTCTGCTGTAGGCTGGTGATTCTGCTCCTGAGGAACTAGCAACAGCTACTCAAGTTCAAGGGCAATACATGCCTATTGCTCGTGAGAAGGCTGGAGTAGAGCTTGTTAAGGTTACAGAGGAGATGAAGTCATTCAAGGCATATGACAAGCTCCGCATTGAGCGTGTGAATCAACGCCATGTTGGTGTTAGGATGAAGAGGGCTGCTGAAGCTGAGAAGGAAGAGAAGAAGTAATTAGTTTGATTAAATTTTTGCTAGAATTAAGTTTTGTTGTTAGACTTGGGAGTTGTTAGTCTTGACATCTACAAATTCTGCCGAATCATTTGGGTTGGAAGATGTATTGATTGCATCATGTTTCAAATGCTCAAAAGGAACTTGGCTTTTCTTTCTCGTTTTGACTTTTGGAGTTTGTGTTTATTTATAATCATCTAGCTCAACCTTTTACCTACAATTCACTTTTACCCTACGTACTTTACAGTTTAAGTGTTTTTGTAATTTGGTTTAAGGCAACTGAATTTCTTGAGCATTTTGGATACTTTGCTTTGGGGTAAAATGATATTAGAATAAACCAAGGTCAATTCTCCTTCAGTGGTCAAGAAAGAAAGACGAAATATGATATTATCTGTGTCTATCTGGAGAGGAAATTGGTTAAGAGATGTTGGATTTTCTCGTTTGGGCTTATTTATTTTCTTTGGCCAGCTATTGTGATTTGAAGCAGTACAGCAGCTACTGGTTTTAAACAAATCAGTATGAGAGAGATTCAGTTCATACTAATATATATATATATATATTCATTTCATGCACTAGAGATGTTCATTTCATGAGTTTTATTGTGGAGGTCAGATATAATACAATTTAGAGCATAATTTTATTGCAATCCACATTATTGATGCAAGATCAATGCATAATTAGCTCTTTCCACCAAAAGAAAATACATGATTTAGCTCTCGCTCTCTATCTATATATATATATATATAGTTATATATAAAGTAGCAAACCTAAATAATATAAAACCTAAAATATGAAAAGTAGTGCCATTTTCAGTGAAATCTTGAATGTGCTTAATTATTAATAAGTAATAGTTTGCGGGAGAAGTGATAATCATATGTTAATCTTTGACTTCATCTCCTGTATCAACTCTGGGGACACTGCAAACATGGATTGCACAACTGCTAGTGATATTGCATTCAACGCAGAGTCCTTTGTAGTTAACCCTTTAATGACAGGCCTGTAATTAACGAATGTTCATCCATTGAAATCAAAGCTATATTCAATTATGTGTCTGTGTGTGTGCGCGTGTGCGTGTGTAAAAGATATATAGCTTACTTTGAGGTGGTGAGGACAGAGAAAAGCTCCATTCCTTGTTGACCAGCAATCATGGCGACTGTAAAAAATGTCGGAACCACAAGCAATTTCCCAGCTTCCACTTCAGTATCCAACACAAGTTTCCCATTCATGCCCACAATCTCCACCTTCCCTTTCCCTGCCACAACATAAAACACTTGAACTGCCTTACTATTTGCAGTGTAACTCGGAGACAGCAACTCATCAGCTTCGAGCTTTATGAGGCTGCAACTCAACCCTACTTTCTCAAGAAAATCGAACTCAGCTCCCGTCAATAATACCCTTTTACAGCAGCTGCTGCTAACCATCTTCTTCACAAACTTGTCGACACAGCTGCTGATCTGCAAGTGGGTTATGTTTTTAGCTTCTTGAGGAGGTAGTTTGATGATGAGAGTACCATTTTGGTTATCTAAAATGGTGGATGCTTGTTGTTGTTCCATGCGAAGGGCTCCGGTCATGAGTTCGGGAGTGAAAGCAGAGAAGATGCCTTGCGTTCCGGTGAGGAAGAAGTAGGTGAACTCGCCAGGAACGTAGCCGTTAGAGGTATCTCCAATGAAAAGGATGACGAGATCTGAATCTCCGGAGTTAAACCACCATGAAACTCCTCCGGTGGGTACTGGTAAAATATCACCTTTGGAAAGAGGCAAGATCTCTTCTTTTGAAGACTGATCTAAAACCATCCCAGCTATTCCTACACCTACATGTATACATTTATTCATTTTTTAAAAAAATTAATCCGATAATCATGTAATTAATAGGTAAACATCAATAATAATATAATATAAAACAATATACAAACAAGAATATAAAAAAATACAGTCCGATCTAAACTTACAATACAATTTAATTAAATACTATGATTAATACCTTGTAAAACATATCCGAGTTTGGAGGAATCGGCACAGTGAGGAAGGGCGAAACCAGCAGGGTTGAGAAGCAGGATGGCAGCACCAAGGTTGAGATTTTTGAGCAATGGAAAATCAGAAGGTGCCCATAAATGGTAACTCCCTCCATCACCTGCAAACAGCTTTTTTGGAGCCAGCTTGGGTGTCAACTCAAAATCCATTGCTCTAGCTAGCTACCTCTTGATGATGATGATTATCTCTTACCATCTATTTATAGCATTAATATAAATATATTAATTTAATCATTTATGTGTACAGAAACTAATTATTTTAGAGATTAATTATATGTAATAGTTAATTTAATTATTTGTGTACGAAACAACAGTGATTAATTTTTTCAATTACGTATTTAATTAACATGAATTAATGAAAATGATAATAAATAATTAAGCTAATTATTTTGTGATTAGAATTTTAAAAATATATTATTTTTTAATTCTGACATGTTTACTAATAGTTAGAGTAAATTATTTAATTAAAAATACATTACTTTATATAAATATATATATACTTATTTATTTTTATGATACAATTTGTATTTAAATTTATGATTATATACATTTTTATTTACTGTACACTGTAACTAATACTCCTTTAATTTATATATAATGAAAAATGACATGAATTAACTTAATTTACTTATATTCATAAAACATATATATATTGTTTATAATTTTTACTAAAAGTTTTTACATAATTCATACGTTTAGGATTTGAATCTAAATAAAATTGGGAGAGTACTAAATGTTGGATCAGCATAGAAAATTAACTAAATATATTATATATAGAAATAGAAATAGAAATTAAAATTAGTATATATAATAAAAATTAAGCAAAGAAAAAGCATTTTATACCTTGGTTATATATAAATAAAAATATTGTATGACAATATCTTGTTAAAAAAAATGAGGAAAAGGGGGGAAGATGGCAGCACCATTTACAGACAAGCAAGGAAAAGTACAACACACCCGTCGTAGATAATACTCACGATCCGTGTTGAAGAAAGCAAAAGGTTTCATATGGCTAAGATTATAAGATAAAGATTTTCTGGAAACTTATCTAATATTAATGCACAAGTCAGAATGAGAATAAAATGACCGGTTTGGTTTTGGCAAATTCAAATCGAACCTGTAATTTAAAGCTCTAACTGGATTATTATATTCTATGCTACTGTTCAGTTTTAATCATATTGTAAAAGTGAATTTCAAGAATTATAATGTTTCACAAATGAACACTTTCGACTTAGTTTTCAAGATGCAGATTGCTAAGTTTAAAACTTGTAACTTGGCTATCAGTTTTGGGCATTGCTGATAAAAGAAGAAGATTAAAGACGAGCAAGAATCATGAAGCAGATACCTGGTGAAAAATTCTGGTGAAAAAACCCATAAAAATTTCTTCTTTTTCATTTTTTTGCCATTGATGGAACTGAGTACTAGTTATTTTTTTCATTACCCAGAACCCGACAACTGAATTTTTTTTCGTTGTCCAAATTAACTTTTGCCATTGAGTCTCTTAATGACAGTGATGACGCCATGGATGCCGAGCTTCCCATCTCCATTAGCTAGCATTCCGGAAAACAACTGCTTGTTCAAAGCAGCACCAGGCAGTACAACCACTCTTCCTCTATCATCTTCTTCATTCTCCTCCACCACATCTAACCCCATTCCCAGATCCTTGACAATGTACTCAACAAATCCAGTAGGTCTGAAGTCATCCTCAATCATCTTCTTCCCAAACAACTCCATCACTCTTGAACCGCCAGCCCCATCCTTTATCGCCTCCAAAAACTGCCCCAGATTCAGTCCTGCTCGCTCTGCAAATACCAATCCTTCACTCAGCCCCACCAAGTTAGCCCCTCCGGTAATCTGGTTCGCTATCTTGCAGCTCTGTCCACACCCAGAATCCCCCATGTGGGTCACTTTCCCCATTATCTTAAACAGCGGCATCAACCAAGCAACCACCCCACCGTCGCCGCCGGCAAAGATTGCCAGCCTTCCTTCTCTAGCGCCAACGTCAGCGCCAGAAACAGGCGCGTCGACCGACCAACACTCTTTGGCCCGCGCGGCGGTGAAAATTTCGCGCGCCAGAGCAGGGTGGCTGCTGGTCATGTCGACAGCGACTCCGCCGGGTTTGAGGCCGGAAAGGACGCCGGCTGGGCCCAGGACCAGGGATCGAACATCTTGCGAGTTGCCCACGATGCTGAACACGACGTCGCTTCGCTCGGCGAGCTCTTGCGGGGAGCTCGCGAGGTGGGCGCCTTGGGCTAGCAGAGCTTGGGCTTTCGATGGATTGCGAGCGTAGACGACCACTGAGTAGCCGGCGTCGAGGATTCTAGCAGCCATGGCGGATCCCATTATACCAATGCCGATCCAGCCTATGCGCGTGTGCGAGGGAGTTATGGGTATTGGGTATGGAGTTTCCATGGCTTGTCGATGTAACAATGGAGAAACGGAGAAGGAATGGCTTTGGGTGGGTCGATAGTGGAGGTAACCAGTGACTGCTTCTCGAGTTCAGTGAAGATAGAGAAATAATATTAAGAAAAGATAATATATTGACTTGCCATGTATTCAATAAAGAAGACAAACCAAAAGAAATCTGTCTGTATGCTGTTAGATGCGAGGGAAAGAGATAGAGAGTCCAAAGAAATTAAAATGCCATCAATTTGTAGGGAAGGAAGCTTGCTGAAGCCTCAACCTTGTAAAACTCATGGATGGCGAATTTAACAAGGAACATAAAGAATCAAAATCAATTCTCTCACTTGGTTATACTTGATTTATTCATTTGTTATATCACCACATTCGCTATTCACAAACCACAAGCACAATCACAAGAGTAGGAGACAAAAGAAGAAGAAGAAGAAGATGGGGTTGCAATCAGTAGAGGCTTCACCAAGAGAAAGCGTGATAGTTGTGATGGACGCAAACAGGAACAAAGGAGTGGTAGATGCACTTGACTGGGCTCTTAAACACGTTGTTCGTCCCAAAGATAAGGTTGTGGTACTTGGGATTTTGTGTGACATTGGGAAGAAGAGTTCCTGCTTTCCCTTGAACATGGGCATCAGCATCTGGGGTATATGTAAGTTATTTCACTTCTTCTCTATTTATTTCTCTTATATATATTTTGGTTTCCATCTTTTGAGGTTTTGTATGTGAAGTTGATAAGATGCGGAGTCTTGCTGGGATTTTTTGTTTATCCAATAGGAACTTGGATTATTTGTTCTCAGATATTGAGATGGGCTTGTTTCAATGCTCCTGTGTTTTGTAGTAGCAGCTATGATTATTATTCCCGTTTCAACATCCGATGAAGTTGAAAATCTCATCCCATTAGCCTTCATGATGGCTAATTACAGCCTTTGTTTTTCAGGGGAGAAGCTCGAGTTCTCAGGACAAGGAGATGTTAATCCCAGAGAACTTGGAGAAGAAATTGAGCGGAAAAGAGAACAGTATCAGAATATTCTGCAACCATTCTACCGACAATGCAAAAGAAATGAGGTGGGGGAAGACACATATTCTATATTTAATGGTGGCATAATCATGAAATATGCTATAATGTGCAGGTGAAGCTGGAAGTGAAACTTGCAGCAGGATTACGTCCTGATAATACCGCAGTTGAAGAAGCACAGAAATCTTGCACTCGGTGGATTGTTTTAGACAGGTGTTGATACCTTTCTAATATTTTCAAACACAAAATAGAAATTCTTTGCAGAAACAGAATGCAAATATATTTTCCTTCCCAAATCAATAACTTGATTGCATTTTGATGATCAAGTTCTAAGAGAAACTTATGAGCATTTATTTTGTAATTAGAAAGGCCAATTCGAGACATCAAGATGGAGTCTAGGGCTCAAAAACTTATGCCTGGAAGACCATACGTAATTAAAAATTGAAATTTATTCTCATTTTCTTGACAGTCACTTGAAGAAATACAAGGTCTTCATATACGAGCGTGTGGGATGCAACATTGCAGTGATGAAAAGAAAAGATGTTGCTACCTTGGTACCATCAAAAGCTCCTCAAAATGAGAATTCTCCTATGATGTCAGATACAACTGATGATGCAAATTTTGCTCCAAACCAGCTTGAGAACCCAAAAAACAAAATCCTTGATGCTATTCAAGATGAGGATATCAGCTCACCTCCACACGGATTACGTCCATGCTGGTATCCATTGTCATCAAGAAATGGTTATCCTCGAGCATTTCTGGAAAGTGAAATTGGAGTCATAACAAATGGATTTGCCAATGCAAATCTTATTGAGGACAAGAATAATATCCAAATTTATCTAGGAATTTGGGAGGACACACCTGTTATAGTGAAGTCTTTCTTGGTAAATGATGAATGTTTCTGGAGAATGTTGATGATTCTTTCAAGGGTACGCCATCACAATATTATGAACCTTGTTGGATACTGCTGCACAGGCACTAGCAGATTCATGCTTTTTGACTGCACATGCTCTGGTACCATTGAAATGAACTTACAATGTAAGATATCTTTTTATCTTCTTGTTTCTTTTAAAGTCAAATATATCCATGATGCCAAGTTTAAGTGAGTGTTCTGAAGAAGTCCGTATACACCCATATAGGTCCTTATAATCTCTAGAAGAACTGGGTTCAGAATATTATGTTACTTCATCAAGAATGTTATTATACTAAAATGAAGAAACATTATTTGAAACTTAACATTTATTTGTGACTTATAGGTGATGAGTCAGCTAGAAAATTGACATGGAGGACAAGGTGGTGCTTAGCTCTAGAGATAGGTGGAAGCTTGCGTTACCTCCATGAGGAGTGTGCTGATGGACCAATAGTTCACCTTTCTGTTTGCTCCTCCAACATTGTCTTCATCCATGGTTGCCCTGCCTTGGTAAGTCTTAGTACAATTTCTTCTGGTGTAACCAAGATGCTCCATTTTCAGTTCAAGTGTATAATGTGTAAACTGATATCTCAAATTCAGTATTGTTTAACCTTGTATGGACTTCTTGTATGTTAGCTCCAATCTCATAATGTTTTCATGGAATTGTTCTAATCAAATCTGAGTTTCCGGCATTTACTGTCATTCAGCTGGGGAATTTCACTACTGCTAAATGGATAAAAGATGAAATCTCAACCCCCGAGGATTCTTCAGCAGAGTAAGGAACCAAAATCATCCTTGATGTTATTTGTTTTCTCTTGCTCAGGCATTATAGAATTCAGAGCTAATTAGTTACTCAGGTTTGTTGTACTAGTCAAATTTCATCCCTTGAATATTTTCTCAGTCTCTTGTAAAGATTCAGATCATTCCTTGCCTCTTTAACGTGATTGTTGTTTTCTGATTCAGGAGTATAAATGTAGAGAGAAACGAGCTCCTTGGCATTGATGTCCATGATTATGGAATCTTTCTGATTGAACTAATTAGTGGAAAGAGTGTTTCATGTTTTGAAGATGAGAAGTCCTTAATTGGATGGGTACATTACGAAAGACTCAAATTCGTTCTTCTGTCTAACCAGAGAACTTCTTCAATTGAATGTCATACTAATCATGTTCATTATAGTAGTGATTTACTGTCAAAAGCAGGAATATAACATTTGATAATAAAATGTCTATTGACTGATTTCTCCATTGTAACACAGGCATTGCCACTCCTGGAAAATGATTCATTAGCCCAACTGATGGATCCCAGGGTGGGGGATACTTGTGATGCTAGGGCTGTTCATAATATGGCGCAGGCTGCCTTGCTCTGCTTAAAGAATGATCCGGCTCACAAGTTTGCCATAAGTGCGGTAAGAATTACTACAATATGATTACTCTTCTTTCTTCTCCACTGAATCGATCAAGCACTATTCCGCTGACAATTTTTTGGACTAGAACAATTACATTAGCCTTCAAAAGATTCACTTAAGCTCCTTTCATGAACTCCATCAAAGGCCTCTTTATACCATGCCTACTATACCAGACAAAAACAGTTACACACTAACAAACACACACATTCCATATATTTATCCAGAAATAAAAGACATGATATTGCTTCTACTCTTAATAGCTTCTTTTCTTTAATCCTTGCGGTTCCACAATTATATTTTGCCACAAAGGTCCAATGTTCAGGAGAATTTCTGCAGGTACTAGCTGTTGTTCGCGGTGACAAGCTTGCAATGTCCAGGAGCTGAATTGTGTGTATATATATATATATATATATATACACACACATGTATATGAATATTCTTGCTGTGTGTAAAACTAATTACAAGTTACAAGGTCACATATTGTGAATTTTCATACATGATCCGTGTTATCTTCTATTAGTTGCTCATGGCTGTATATGTAAACTGCGTCTCAAGATGCAATGGAGGGTGGCTATTCTGGAGAATACTCATCTCTAACGATCCTTTTGGTGGGAAAAATAGGAATCCATTACAAAAGAAATATAGAAAAAGAAGATTCGGTCAACTTAACCTCTATTTACAGGAGAAATGACAGTTGAATTTAATCTATAGAACTGGAGATTGCCAGAGGGATTCTCAATATCAAACTCTAGTTCTGATATACTTAATCTTGTTTTCCAACCTTCATTTAAGAATACAAGGTTATAGACATGAAACTATGATCTTTTTTTTTTTTGAGGCACACAAAATTATAATCTTAGCATGCTTGCTTGCTCCGCTTGATGAAGAAGACCCATTATTGGACTTCTGGAGAGAGTCAAGACCAACTCAACACTCTTTAATATCTTAAAAATGTGTATACACATAAAACCAGATGCAACCAATGGAGAATAAGTAATTACGGTTACCACAACTGGAAAGTGTATGACTACATGCATATTCTGTGACTGAACAAACTAGGTTGGCTTTCCTGGTAGAAGTCAACCATCTCCAAATGAACTAGGGTTTAAAACCAAAAAACACCCAGTGTAGAGATCAGAGAAACATGTAACTTGCAAACGTGGGTTCTTTTCTGTTTATCACCTCATTTGGATGATAGAGTGAGAACAAAACAGTTGCTTGGCAAAACATCTCTCTGCTATGCTTAACCATCTGGGCTTTGTCTATGTTTTGGTTAAGTTAAAAAAATAATATTGAAATGAGAGTGTCAATTGCATATTGAAACTGGCCTCTTGTTTGCTTGTTTATATGAATCATAAACATCAGAAAAGAACTCCCAAAATTTTTAAGTTCTTGACAATGTCAAAAAATCTCTTCTTGGATTTTCTCCAAAACATGCCAGTTATTTCAGAAGCTCAGGTGTTTCTAATCCACTTCTTGGTTGCATCAGCTGTGTTGATCGCCCTTCTCTATTACTGTTTCGGACCCAGCTGCACTTACCTTATTGACTTCGTCTGTTATCTCCCACCAGATTACTTGAGATGTCCAATCTCCAAATTTATTGAACATTTTGAGTTAACTGGATTCTTCGAGAGGGAAAGCATTGACCTGCTAGAGAAAGTTCTGGAAAGATCAGGAATAGGCGATGAGGCTTGTGTGCCTATTACATTACATGAGTTGCCCCCTAATAGCTCTTTCAACCCAGCTAGAGAAGAAATTGAAGAAGTCCTCTTCACAGTAGTTAAAGATCTGCTCGCAAAGCACAAGTTAAGTCCTAAAAGCATTGACATCCTTGTGTCGAATTGCAGCATTTTCTGTCCTACTCCAGCCATTACTGACATGATTATAAACAAGTTTGGATTGAGAAGCAATGTAAAGAGCATCAGCTTGAGTGGAATGGGTTGCAGCGCCGGGGTCTTGTCAGTAAGTCTGGCTAAAGAACTTCTTAAGGTTCACAAGAACTCCTTGGCTTTAGTTCTCAGCGCGGAAGCTGTGACTCCTAATGGTTATCTTGGTAAAAGAAAGTCCATGCTCATTAGCAATACCATATTTAGGATGGGAGGAGCTGCCCTTCTGCTATCAAACAGGAAGCATGACAAGCAGACAGCAAAATACAAACTTGTGCATCTGATCAGAACCCATATGGGATCTGATGACAAATGTTACTCTTGTGTCATGCAACATGCTGATGAAGATGGAAATATAGGTGTCTCGCTGTCAAAGGAACTTCTACAGGTTGCAGCTAACGCCTTGAAGATCAATCTACTTGAGTTAGGCCCTCGTGTGTTGCCGTACTCAGAGCAGCTGCTTTACTTGCGGTGGGTGATTTGCAGGCAAATGTGGCATGCAGCGGGGCAAGAAGAAACTTATGTGCCAAATTTCAAGAAAGCCT